TTATGCTTTGCCGTTCGCATATGTTTACACATCAAATTTCATGAGTATCTAGAACTCACGCATTTTGTAATTTGTTCCTCTTTGTTTTGCTTTAAATAAAACTGTATTAGAAGATGTTAAGTATTTTTATTCTAAAAACAAAATTGTTTGTTCGGATTCGATGATTTAGAAATGTCCCAATTTTTGGCCACGGAAATCTGGTCACCGTAATTATAAGGTTCCTTTTTAAATTTGTGTTTTTTTTTTTAGAAAATGTTGAAAGAGCTGTCTTTTTCAGTTTAAAAATGCGCACCATTATGGCTTTAGAAAGCTAATGCTGCATTGGAAAAACGTTTTCCTATTAACGGGAATTTTTTCTGATTTTTTTTGGCTTCTAATCTCAGAAGAGGCTGCTATTCCTACCCAACTTTTGCGAGCTATGAATGATAGTTATAAGCCACAGGTCAAGAAAAAACAAACTCTTCGGCGGGATTCTGAAATCCATAAAGCCTCAAATTTCTTGTTAGAGGTCTAATAAATATAGAACAATTTTTATCGGAGGTGGCTTTAGTAAAGGTAATCGAGAAAACTTCATTAGAAAACAATGAAGAAGGCGAATTGGACATTGGAATTGAGGACCAACTGGATGATGACTTGATCGAGTTTTCTAACTTCGAACACAAACACTTCTGACGAACCTTAAGGAGTTCCAAATTGTGGAAATCTCAAAATCTGTATAAACTGTAAAATAAATCCGTGCAAAATCGTGGGTTTTCCCTGTGGAATTCTGTCGCCACTAGGGATCAGAAATGAGGGTTATGCATGCGGGATCACCGGGATTTGCGGGACTACAGAAAAAAATTAATTAGACGAATGCGAGTTGTGAACGTGCTCGCCAAAATGTTCGTCGTGCATGGCTGCATGATAAAAAATAGGAAGGTAGAACCGCTGAGAGGAAGTTTTCAAATTCTTGACGTTTGCAAGCAATTTAATTTTAAAATTTTACACACAAACTCACACACACATTCTCATTTTCAATCTCAAACAACAACAACTTTGAACAATTCCTTTTTTT